ATAGGCCAGAAAGCTCACAATTAGTGGGCCAGGCAGATGCAAGACAACCTCAGCACCCTGCGCCAGGTTCGGAGGTTTCTAAGATAAGCAAGTTGATGTCATGCTCGGGTCTGCCTGGGCAGCATGTGCATTAACGAGGGGTGTGCAACAACAATAGGCCATACAAAGCTGACTGGTAGGCAGCTGCTCTATGAGCGCAGAGTCATTAGGGAGCAGGCTGCCAAGAAGAAACACCTGGCTTGGGCAGACTTCAGCTTTTCCTCCTTGTTTTTAATGCATGAGACAAAGGAAGCAATTATATTTTAAAGTAGTAAAAGTTGCAAGTTTCCAAAAAGTTGAGGCCATACGCCAGTCTATTAGCTTTTCATTTTTATTTGAGAAATAAAGAAAATGAGGTGTGTCAAAGCAGCAACAAACTACTGCAGCAATCCCTTTTCTTTAATAAGCGAGTTACTGGTAAAATGAGATAGGAGGCTTTAGAAAACTATTTCCCTGAAAATATGGATAAATTTGTATTTTAAAGTATGTTTATGTGTTAGAAAAAAGTAAAACTAAAGAGAGGTGATGAAAATAGAAATAGATGTAAAGTAGAAAGATTTACAGAGCTTACAAAGAGAATTTATCTTTTAAAAGTTCACTGAAAGTAGATTAAACAAACACTGGTTAAATTTTTCACCTACCATGTAACTGAAATTCAGTTACAGTTTATAATCTGTAGAGATCTAGAAATACTTTTTCAGATTATATCATTCATTACATGAATATTTTTGTAAAATTAAAAATGACAAATTTATAAATTGAGAATTTGAAACTTTCCAACACAACTACATCACAGAAACAAGTTGTATTACTCATTATAGTTATTAACCCTATAACTGTTCTACATGAAACATACTCCAGTGTTTTGGGGGTTAAAAATAAGTATTTCAATTCAAAACAGAATAAAATTCATTCCAACTCTGTGCTACATAAATCATAAACTGTACATTTAGACAAAATTATTTCAGTACAACCTAAAATCACAGAACCTATCTTACGTATGTAAAATAGCAGTGTGAAATTCTTTTATTATGGTTGCTAGTTAAATATATAATTAAATAGAAGCAAAATCTTTTATCATGCTTTAATATACAACACACTATACTTTCTAAAGTTTGTGCTTAATAGAATTTGTAAGACTTAATACTAAAATTTTTGGTTCAGGATGAAGTGAACATTTTAAATATTATGACATTTTTGAAGAGTATAAAGTATTCAACAAGTCCCCTCAGTGAGGAAGTTTGTTATCCCTGGTCTATTTCAGTGTTTCAGATTACAGTATTAATAATACTGACTACTTGTTTTTGAGGGCTCCATATGTTGTACCTTGAGTGGCCTCTGATTATGTAAAAAATTCAGTGAAAATGTAAATACCATAAGGTGCTGTGAAGATAGTCCCCTACTCAAGAGAAAGGAAAAGTACAGCTGTTCTACTTGCCTAATGTGATGTAGAACACACACACACACAGCACACACACACACAGCACACATACACACCCTCTTCATTCCAGTACAAATTAGAAGAGTGAAGGCCAAGAGCTGATCTAAACACATAATTTACCAATACAAACTGATGGATGCAGAGTCTAGATTTTTCCATTAAATGATCATGAACTCTAAAGATATAACACTTGGTTAAAGTACTGCAAGTAATCTAAATTAATCTTTCTTTTCCACAAATACAGAAGCTACTCAAAATTAGGATAATTTGTGAATACTTAAAAAAAAACCAACAACACTGATTGGGACTTCTGATCCTATAACCTTATTGTATTCACTCTAATGCAAATGAGATCTTTTCTATTAACAAAATAAGATCTATTCCATATGGTAAAATTTTTTCTATCTTACCAAAATTACTCCTTAGCCTGCTAAAAACCCAAAAACTACTGTTTCCAGAAAGAAAACTAAAATGTGCCATATATTGCAGATCACCCATTTGTCTGAAGTGTGCCATTCCAAAAAATGTTGGCAAATTTAAAAAATCTGTGAAAATGTTTTTGAACTAAATATACTTACTGGCTTCTATATGTCAAGTTAGAACTATTCTTTTTCTGCTAGGGTTATTGTAATGTTACTGGAATAATTAAATTCATGATCTAATTTCATAAGCCCAATAAAGATCAAGAGAAAGCATCTCTAGCATTACAGTTTGTTGAGAATTTACAATGTGGGTTACACAGAATTCAAATTTCATGTCTGCGTAAGTGTTGGAACGTTCCAGAAATGAAGTTAGGGGTGTGTGTGCTGGGGGGAGGTGATGGTGGTAGTTGGAAGAAATAAGATCACTGCTTTGGCCAGTGCTCTGTAATTCTGGTAAAATTGAGTTTGGTTAAACAAAATAAAAATGGAAAAAAAAAACAACAGACTTCCACACAAAGTAGGTACCACTAAAACCGAATGAAACTTAACAGCTATGCACTGACTAGAAGAGAGAGTGAGGTCAGTATTTATGAATTCATTTGTTTATAGAAAGGAAACTACTTCGTGTGAATAGACAATATTCTCTTTTTCCGTGGGCTTTTTTCCTTCTCTTTATCCCCCGCTACTACAGTTACTACTTTACAGTTTTAATTCAGGAGGAGGAGGCATCTTCTCACTCGGCCACAGTGAGCACAAAGAATGAGAGAAAACTACCCAAGAGCTCAGCGGGAAGCCTGATCTATAGCACTGGATTAAGCTTTTTTGCAAACAGCAAATAAAGGCAGTGATCTGAAAAAGCTAATCAGATCCTGCTGTGGTATTTAGACTATGTTGGTTGCTAGTATTGGATAATGTTAAGCACATTAAAACATCTGTAGGTAAAAAGACAGCCTCAGTCTAGCTTTCCCAGTCACATGGCCCTGGTCCACTTGCACTGGAGACCAAATACAAACAGCTGTGCTGGGCTCTGTTTGGGTCACTGCAATAAATGAAGGAGCACAGTGCACACTTATGACAGGTTAGGAAGACACTAGAATCTGTCAACATCAAGGGTGAGTCTAACTTTTGAAACTTCCAGCATTTATGAGGGCCTCCCTTTTTGAGGCCTGAATGTCAAACACTGGGCTTTGGTGCTGGAGTCTGGAATCAATTTCTTTTGCCCATGGTGATCCAAGCCCACTTCCTGGTGCTTCTCTCTTCAAACAGACTTGTTCCTCTTTGAGTTAATATAATCCATTTTGATCCTAACAATAACACTATGGAAGTAAGATTATTATATCAAATTTTCTCAATTACCTGAAAAAGGTTGAAAGGTTAAAATTTATCCAAAAAATTGCTATTATTTTTGAGATCTTAAAAAAAATGAGCCAGGGCCGGCATTATGCTGCAGCAGGTTAAGCTACCGCTTATAGCACCAGCATCCCATATAGGACTGTCAGGGTTCAAGTCTTGGCAGCTTCACTTCCGATCTAGCTCCCTGCTAATGTACTTGAGAAAGCATCAGAGAATGGCCCAAGGGCTTGGGCCCCTGCCATTCATGTGAGAGGCCCAAATGGAATTCTAGGCTACTGGCTTTGGCCTGGCCCAGCCCGGGCCATTGTGGCCATTGGGGAATGAACCAGCAGATGGAAGATATTTATCTCTCCCTTTTTTTCTGTCTCTTACTCTTGCCTACCCTGTTACTCTGCCAGTAAAACAATAATTTTGAATGAATCTTTATAAAAGTGATCCAAAAAAATTTACAATGTAAAAGAATACAGCAAAAATCAATCAAAATCAATCAAACACAAACTCCAGTATCTAAAGTTACTATATTTAGAAAGTCAGATGAGCATGAGATCTTTCATTTATAAAACTGCTCTTAGTGTTCTTTGAAAAGCACTAACTTCAAGGTACAAAACAACGCTAAGAACATAACCTCTATGACTTAAAGACAAACGGCTGCAGGTCTGGACAGCTCTAGTTAAACAAAAGTCACAGGGTCAGCTGGATCAAACAGCCAGTAACATCATCTCTGACATGTCCACTCCAGAACGTTCTGTAGGAAAGGTGAGACATGCTTCTAATTCCCCTTTTCCAAAAAACCCAAGCCCCATCTCAGGCAAGAGACAGTTTGGGAAAGTCCCACATCAGCCCGTATTTGGAACCTGTCCTGAATCAAATCCCCCCAAAGTACACGCTAGAGGAATGCAGCTTTACATTTAACATTAACTGTATGAAGATTCTCAACTATAATTAGGATCAGATATTTCAGACAGATCAAGTAGAAATGATTTTACATCAAATGAACTTAAACTGAAACGTATTATGTGAGAATAGTGTGGCATTACATAGAAAAATACATTATTAACCGATAAGGCAACAAACATCTATAAAAATGGTACAGAACAGAGGGTACAAATGAGAAACGCTCCAAACACATTTGTCATTTCCCCAATGACACGGCCACTCTCCCATTTCTCAAGTTCATATTAAACACAGTGGTGGAGCTGGGTCGAGGAGAAGTCGCTTAAAACTATCACCAAGATGCAGCTACCCCTGTGGCCCTAAAATAAACTAATTGTGTTTTAATATGAAGAAAACTACTTTTCCTATCTACACCAAGAAATACATTGTATCAGAAGTTATATTTTAGTACAAGTCATATTTGCTCCTAAAAAATACCATGCAATTACTAATAGGTAAATAAAAGATGAAAAGGAAAAACTCTAAGATACACTGGATTTATCAATTGAACCCTTTATCTATTAGAAAGATAAACTTTTTTTTAATTTATTTAAAGGGCTTGGGACATTTACTGGCAGCACACAGCAAAGGTCATAGGATCAAAGCAAGAACTCAACACTTGAGCCTTTGGAAGGTTAGAGTCCAGGACAGAATCCAGGGTTTCAGTGGCAAAGCTTCTAGAATTTCCGTGTATGATGATTTAGCACTATCTGTTCTTTGACTCTACGGTCGCCACACAAGCTGCTAATTCTTGAGACACGGAATCACATCAGCACAGTTTAGATAATAACTTCACTACTTTGCCCAATTACCATGGCCAAGAGAAGGTGGAGCCTTGATTGGCAGCTTGATCAGAACCGTATATGGAAATGGATGTGGGAGTTCCTGAGGTGCACCTGTATCAACAAAATCATGGGAGGAGAAAAAGCTTGGTGGATAGAAACATCAGAAATCCACTAAAAAGGACATTTTATACACTACAGAGATGTTTATATGGGCTCCGTGAAATTCATCAAAATGACTTTAAAAGTGGTAAAGAAAAAAATTTCTGAAGGTAAAACAAAATAAAGAGAATATTAAAAAATGGAAACTCATGTTTTTGATTAATTTTTCATACTTAACAAAAGGAAACTATGAAATATACTATCACTTTTAGAGTACACACTGATTCCTTGGCTTCATTTTCACATCTATGAACAGTAACATATCTCACTCCCAATTTCCCTTAAAGAAACTCTTCATTGTCACAACACTGCATTCTTGAAATTTCAGTCAACTTTGTTGATTTCTTTTTCTTTTTTTAAAAGATTTATTTATTTATTTGAAAGTTGGAGTTACAAAGAGAGACAGAGAGAGAGAGAGAGAGAGAGAGAGGTCTTCCATCTGCTGGTTCACCCCTGCAACAGCCTCAATGGTCAGAACTGGGCTAGGCTGAAGTCAGGAGCCAGGACCCTCATCCAGGTCTCCCATGTGGATGGCAAAGATCCAAACACTTGGGCCATCATCTGCTGTTTTTCCTAGGCCATTAGCAGGGAGCTGGATGGGAAGTGGAGCAGTCAGGATAGGAACTAGCACCCATATGGGATGCTGGCATCATAGGCAGTAGTTTTACCCATGATGTCACAACTATGGCATCTAGTTTTTAATTTATATAATACATTTTTTTTTTGACAGAGTGGATAGTGAGAGAGAGAGACAGAGAGAAAGGTCTTCCTTTTGTCGTTGGTTCACCCTCCAATGGCCGCCACGGCTGGCGCACTGCGCTGATCCGAAGGCAGGAGCCAGGTACTTATCCTGGTCTCCCATGGGGTGCAGGGCCCAAGCACTTGGGCCATCCTCCACTGCGTTCCCGGGCCACAGCAGAGAGCTGGCCTGGAAGAGGGGCAACCGGGACAGAATCCGGCACCCCGACCGGGACTAGAACCTGGTGTGCCGGCGCCGCTAGGTGGAGGATTAGCCTATTGAGCCGCGGCGCCGGCCATATAATACATTCTTAAAATACAGTTGATCAATTCCTGATTTTTTCTTCTCAAGTTTTTCATTGTCATAGCAATGAACATCTCCTAGATTAGTTTTGTTTCTCAACTGATCTCTTTTTTTGTTTAAAAATTTATTATTTATTTGAAAGAGTTACACAGAGAGAGAAGGAGAGGTCTTCCATCCGCTGGTTCACTCCCCAGATGGCTGCAACAGTTGGAGCTGTGCCTATCCAAAGCCAGGAGCCAGGAGCTTCTTCTGGGTCTCCCATGCAGGTGCAGGGTCCCAATCACCTGGGCCATCTTCCACTGCTTTCCCAAGCCATAGCAGAGAGTGGATCAGAAGTGGAGCAGCTGGGTCTCGAGCAGGCACCCATATGGGAGGCTGGTCTGCAGGCTGGCACTGCAGGCAGCAGCACTGCTACACCACAGTGCTGGCCCCACTCAACTGATTTCTTTCCTTGACTACCTCCCTAAGAACTTGCCTTAGGAGTAATTTTTAATCAAATCACTCTAATACTAAAAAAAAAAATTCGGGGCCGGTGCTGTTGCATTGCTGTGGCATAGCGAGTAAAGCCATCACCTGCAGTGCTGGCATCCTGTATGGATGCTGGTTGGAGCCCCGGCTGTTCCACTTCCGATCCAGCTCTCTGCTATGGCCTGGGTGTAAGGGAAAGGATTTACTGGGGGAAACCCAACAGACCGGAGGGAAGGGGCAAAAAAGGAAAAGAGGGAGAAGGAGAGCATAAGAGAGCGATTGAGAGAGAGAGAGAGAGAGACAGAGAGATGGAAAAAAAAGAGAGAGATTGAGAGAGAAAGAGACAGAAAGAGGGAGAGAGGTCTGGAGACAGAAAGAGAACCATGTGTTCAGGAACAGGTGTTCTTAAAACTTTGCAGAGGCCAGCACCATGGCTCACTAGGCTGATCCTCCGCCTTGCGGCGCTGGCACACCAGGTTCTAGTCCCGGTCGGGGCTCTGGATTCTGTCCCGGTTGCCCCTCTTCCAGGCCAGCTCTCTGCTGTGGCCAGGGAGTGCAGTGGAGGATGGCCCAAGTGCTTGGGCCCTGCACCCCATGGGAGATCAGGATAAGAACCTGGCTACTGCCATCGGATCAGCGCGGTGCGCCGGCCGCAGCCCGCCGGCCACGGCAGCCATTAGAGGGTGAACCAACGGCAAAAGGAAGATCTTTCTCTCTGTCTCTCTCTCTCTCTCTGTCCACTCTGCCTGTCAAAAAAAAACAAAACAAACAAACAAACAAAAAAAAAAACAAAAAAAACAACTTTGTGGGAAGGAGGGGGAGGCAGGGAAGTAGGAGCAGTGAATCCCATTAGGATGGGGGTGGAGCTGACACGGGTGATTGGGCCATGTGGCCACCTGGCTTCCAGCAGTGGTGGCAAGGGCTAGGGCCTAGGATGGTGTCAAGGTGTAGATTGCACCATAGATAAGACTGAGCCATTTTACTAACACTGGGAAAGCAGCAGAAGACGGCCCAACTCCTTGGGCCTCTGCACTCATGTGGGAGACCCAGAAGAAGCTCCTAGCTCCTGGCTTTTGGATCAGCCCAGCTACCGCTGTTGTGGCCAATTGGGGAGCGAACCATCGGATGGAAGACCTCTCTCTCTCTCTCTCTCCTCTGTGTAACTCTTTCAAATAAATAAATAAATATTAAAAAAAAAATCTGAGCTACATGGGTGAAGTCACTGGCATCCCAAATGGACATTGGTTCAAGTCCTGGTTGCTCCACTTGTGATCCAGCTCCCTGATAATGCACCTGGGAAAGCCATAGAAGATGGCCCAAGTGCTTGGGGCCTTGCACCCTCGTGAGAGACCTGGAAGACACACTCTCTCTCTAACTCTGCTCTACAAATAAATAAATCTTAAAAAAATTAATCTGAGCTACAAATCACAGGTCTCAGGAGGGTCCTCTGCTTTTTTTCCCAAAGTTGTCTACAACCTGGATCTCCTTAACCTCTGTAATCTTACTTCCCACTTTCCCGCAGGTGAAGGGAGAGAAAAAGTGAAGTTATAAGTGCTGAAATAAATTTCCTTTAAGTCCAGTGCTGCCTCACGCATATCACACGTGTCTCCCAAGCTCAACTCCAGGCTTCTTTTTCCATTACATTTTCTTGGATTAGTCTAGTTTTGTTTATTTCCTGGTCCTTTGGTTTCTATAATGTGACTGTACTGCACACTTTAGCACTTATTTATGGACCAGACTGTGTATTTTTTGAGAGAACCATTTATTCTCCATAACCGACAGGGTACAACCTGCCTGGTATATAGCAGTGTGCTGGGCTCTAGAAGGTCTCTGAGTGAAATGCATACCTGGTTAAGAAGAAAGCCCCCTGCAAATCTGAGTGTAGGCATTCATATGAACAAAACCACTGCCCAATGTCTAGGAAGAGGACTTAAGTCCTAGAGAGCCAGTCTCTTTGGCTCTGCATTTCTCTCTGGGACCTGCCCACAAGCACGGACCACACAGTTACTCTGCTCTCCAGCTTGGCCTGAACCTGCATGGTTAAATCTTTCTAACTCTGTAGTTCAGTGTTACTACATCTTCTGTGCCATCTATGAAGGCATGTTCTCCAATGACTCCACCAATAAAAAGGGCTGCTACTGTGATTTCCATCTCTTAGGCTCCTTGTCTAGAACTAAGGCGGGAAAAAAAACCTGTTCCAATTCCACCAATATTCAACAATAAACATGCTCTGCTAGAAAGAACTAAAAATTAGTTTCGTTATTAAGAAAAAAAGGAAATAAAGACAATGTAACTTTAATCAGGCCACTTGCATGCAGATAAAGTTTAAAAAGGGGAAAAATTCAGTAACAAAGAAGCAAGATAATGCTCCTCAAAGTCAAAATTCTTAAGATCAATGAAAATCTTTAGTATTACATCATCAAGAATTAATAAACCTTCATTCTGTTCAGGATTCAGAGATCAATGTAAAATAAATCCATAAAAACAGCATTCCTTTCCAGTGGTCTAAAAATAATAGAATCCTCCTTTAATTATTTTATGTTATATTTTTGATTATTTGCTTATGTATTTGAGACAGATATCCCATCTGCTGGTTCATTTCTCAAATGCCTACACCAGCCCCCAGAAGGAAGCCAGGAACCTAGTCTCAATCCTAGTCTTCCATGTGGCTAGCAGCAACCCGATTACTTGAGTCACTACCACTGCCTCCCAGGGTCTGCATTAGTATGAAACTGGAGTCAGGAATCAAATCCAGACACCAAAAGGGTACTCAAGCATCTTGATGGCTATGCCAAACTCTCTTCCCTTTACTCATTTTATATGATGAAATATTAAACCACGATCTGAGACTTCATTCAGATATTTTCCAGGGATTTGCTTCTCATTAAGTGTTTTTTTTTTTTTTAAATTCATTAAGCAGTTAAGTTTGTGAGAAGATCATCTTCAACTTCTATAAGACTCCTATAAATACTCAAAGAACAAGATTTTTAAATAATTAATTTATTCCAAAGGTTCTTGTTGGAATGATAACTGTTGTATCTCAAGCCATCTTACAGGAGCAACACAAGACTGCTTGTCTTCTTCAATCAATCAGATCTCGAGTACAGACCCCTGCAAGTCCTAGCTCCATGTCTAAACTCCATTTCAGCAGGAAGTAGCCGGAGAGAAAATGGTGCCCCATCTCCTTATCTAAACTGAGTCAGCCATTCTCGCTCATTGCCCAAAAGATAGATAAACATTAGAATGTATTCTTGGGACCGGCATCGTGGCTCACTTGGTTAATCCTCCTCCTGCAGCACTGGCATCCCATATAGGCACCGGGTTCTAGTCCTGGATGCTCCTCTTCCGGTCCAGCTCTCTGCTGTGGCCAGGGAAGGCAGTGCTTGGGCCCCTGCACCCACATGGGAGACCAGGAAGAAGCACCTGGCTCCTGGCTTTGGATTGGCTCAGCATTCATGGTGGCCATTTGGGGAGTGAACCAACAGAGGGAATATTTTTCTCTCTCTCTTTCTCTCTCTCTGTCTGTAACTCTACAAATTAATTAAAAAAATAAATTAAAAAAAAATAATGTATTCCTTGCCCTTGAATCTCATTTGGGTCTCACACTCTATTGCCTTCATACCCCACCCCCCACAGCCACCTGAAAGACCACTTCTAGGTTCCCCTCTGCTTGCTACTCCCTACCCACACCCCAACCCGAGCCCTCCTAAAATATCTAAAGGCCTGGCCCCTAGGGGTCAGGGCCTTCTGCCAGTGTTCCATCATGTGTACAAATGCTAATCTAACAGAACAGCTAAAGAAGGAAGAGCAGAAAGAGAAAACTCAAGAGGAAAAAAGGATATATATGATTTTACAGAACATATATAAGGTAGCTAAAGGGGGTAGTGATGTGGTGTAGAAGTTAGTTAAGTTTCTATCTGTGGTGGCAGCATCCCATATGGGTGCCTGTTTCATCCTGGCTGCTCCACTTCTGATCCAGCTTCCTGCTAATGTGCCTGGGAAAGCAGCGGAAGATGGCCCAACTATGGTGGTTGTGGCCATTATGGGGGTGAATCAGCTGATGGAAGACCTCTCTGTTTCTTTCTCTTTATCTCTCTCTCTCTTTCCACCTTTCTCTTCTTTTTTTCCCTGTATCTCTGCCTTTCAAATAAACAAAAAATAATTTAAAAAATAACAGAAATTGTGAGTAAAAGATAACCAAAATATGCAA